GCATTGAAGCAACTGCCATGTGATTGGTTGATTAGATAATTGCATTAATGAGAAATTGAGCAGGTGTTCCTAATAATCCTTTAGGTGAGTGTAGGCCGATATATCGGAATATCGGATTTTAAAACCAACAAATATTTGTATCGGTATCGGCCTTCAAAATCCTTTATCGGTCGGGCTCTAATGTATAGCGTTTATCATAAAACAAATAATATACTCTCTCTATGGAAGTCCCGTGTAGTTTTCTTTTTTTCTTTTTCAAGTGGGGTAAGGCCGTAGATGATACTTGGGGGTACTTCTGTTTCTTTACAGAAGGGGGGGGGGGAACCGATACGGTGACCACTCACCATAATAAATATCTGCGGCTGGTTGTGTTCCTTTTAGGAGTAGTTATGCGCGGAAAGACAAACTTGTAAATTTTCTTAGGATTCTTTAATGAGAAATACAGCGTGTCAAGTGTCATACCAGCGGCTGCGAGCGATCACAGCCACGCCCCCTTCGCTACACCACGCCCACCGTCATTATTTATACCCCGCACGACCATCATTCTGTGCGAGGTATTGTAGCATGCAATTTCCGAGCGACTGTCTCTTTTGTCTCTGTTTCAGCTCTGCTCCGCCCGACTCTCCCTGCTCCTGCTTCCCGCGCCTCCAGACCCGTCCTAATCCCGTCCGCCACAGCCCTGATCTACCCTCGTGTCTTCTCCCTGTGTGCCCTGTCTGCATCCTCGGACGGACCTCCCGGCTCTACGACTTAACGGCACCCGACCCGACAACGATCACGGATTCCCCATTGGCTTTTGTATTACGGATAGGACGGATTCTGGTTTTGACCCTGCTTGTGACTTGGATTTCCCTTTGGTTCACCCCAATAAAGGACTTTCAGACCCGGCCCAAGTGTTCTGTTGTGATATCAAGTTTTAGGTTACCTCGGATTATCTTGTTTCTTAATTATATCGATTGTCTGTTTGATGTTCTTTTATCTACTGATTGTAGCCTAGTTATGCGCAGACACAGACAGACGTTACGCTCGACCCGGGATGATCTATGGTGGGGTGTAAATAACAGGTGTATGGGAAAACTACTCGTCCCCAGCTTTACCTCCAACTTCAAAAAACCTTTTTATGCACTGAAAGACAAAATGTCAATTTGATGTGTGGCCTATGTTTATATGTAATTGCGCACGGACAGAGACTGATACAGTTTGACCGGGATGTCCTACGGGGATGCAAATAACAGCTGTATGTGAAAACTACCTTTACCTTCAACAAAAAAGCTTTTTATATTTTTTAAAGCTTCTTCAGATAACCATGCATTAAAGAAAAAGGGGGGTCACTCTCACTCCCTGGACTGTTGCAGGGGTCAGACACTACCCTCCCCTCCCAGCCACTCTCACAGACACACAAACAGACTGCTGCAGGGGTCAGACACTACCCTGCTCCCCCAACCTGCCACTTTCACAGACACAGACACACAGCCAAACTGCTACAGGGGGGGTGCAAAGCGTTTATTGGAGGATAGCGTCAGACACACCTCCTCTCATTCTACGCTCCAACTCTCTCAGTTTCTTTCAGACTCGTACAACAGCGTGATCAGCTCCAACACCGTTCTCAGAATGTCCAAGTCCTTTGCAGACACAGCCAGCCTCAGAGGGTAGTAGAATTCCTTACCCACAACATTTCCAAGCTCCGGACCGACGGGGACATCATTCACCTTCCGACAGCAGCAGACCCAGCGTACGGTCACACTCGATCAGGTAACCAGCCCGCTCAGCACATGATAGCACATGATAACCAGCCAGCCATCACCCTCATAGCACATACGGGCTATTCGGACAAATCCCACTTGTATTCATAAGCACCCAGACGCCATTAAGCCATTTTCTGCTTCATTTCAGTCTCCGCACTAAATGCCATTTTCAAACTTCTCACATAACCGCAATAAATAATTAAAAACCACCCGCAACATCTGGAAATAATTAACAACATTGGCCACTACTCCTGGCCCCACCCCCAGTAACCTCTGTGACCCCAAACCCTTTGGTCTTTGTGACCTTTGACCCGACCTGTCATTTTGACGAAAGCGGTATGCCTCTATCTTCCTCCTAATAAATCCCTCATTCCACAATTCCTTAACTCCCTTCGCTGCTTGCTTGCCCCGCGTCATGACAATTAGCTATTAGATGGAAAACAAAGCTGAACTTGGCATCACTGTGGTTTTCATTGAGAGCAAATTTCTAGATTTCTAAACTGAAACGCGGACGAAATACAGAGGACTAATGACAACAACCAGAAAAAGCTGATCACATGGGGATCCCACACGAGGTTAACGGGGGGGCGTGGCACACGGAAGGAGCGGACGATCGGGGCAGGACAGGGGAAATGTTGGGATAAGATCTTTATCGTTTTGGAAGCCATTAAGGAAAAAATGCTCTCCTTGTTTTATCCTGTTCATTTTGTGTTTAAATGCTAAAAAAAAAAAAAAACATACTAAGGTGTAATTTTGGGGGGCCGGGAATCAATTAATTGGTTTTCCATTATGTCTTATGGGAAAAATTCGATCAGAACTCGAACTTTTTAGGATTCGATCCAGAGTCCGGAACGGATTAAGTTCGAGAACCACTGTATATACAGTGGTTCTCGAACTTAATCCGTATTGCACCTTTAATAAATCAACTATAATATATATACTATTTCATATCCCTTGTGGTACGAGGTTATTTTGCATTGCTTTCGATACGATAGCTTGGTATTGATGTTAATACAAGGTTATTTTGTATTACTTATTAAAGTGTTTTTGAGTGAACCTAAGCATGCCTGATTGTTCCTTCAAGAGCCCTATATCCCTCTCACATCATTTTAAAACAATAGGAGAATTTGCATGGCATCTTAAGGATATCAGCACATGTATTGACTTGGGATGAATCATGTAGAGACTGGACTGCAGGATGAAGGTCAAAGCCAACAGCAGGGGATAGAGTCACTTCCTGTACCAAAGATCAGGATGTCCTCTAGTGTGACATCACTAATTCCCACTGAAACAAACAAACAAAAGATTACAATGTATACAGATATCTAGAGTAGATCATCATCACACTTACAGCCTTTTGTGCACATATTATATAATATATAGTAAGGCTTGTAGTGCACAGCAAGGCAATATATTTAACAAGAAATTCTCAAGAAAATTATATAATATACTCTGTATCTAGCAGGTAATCTCTCCATTAACTGCTCTGCATAAAAGTAACTGTTGTCTCTTAATGCTACCAATGAAAGTAAAGGACATTCAAAATATTATAGAATCATTCTGTCATTGAAGGTTATCAAAATACAATCTGTCAATCTTTATGTCCACAATACAAACATGGTGCGTGACAAGATAAGACCCGCTCATTCTCTGGGCCTGAGAACATTGCACTCAGTCTTATGTGTAATAGCCCGAGTTAAAAAACTCAGGCATTGGTCCTCCCATATCCACACCCTTTAGAAGTACCAGCATCGTCTGTGAATTTTACATTTATTTTTTTATTCACTGAGAAATTTGGCCTCCTCATTCCTCGTACAGTTCTATCTCAGATGTTTTTACGGTTTATGTTAAATCAAACTACTTCATCCACGTTTATGTGTTTCCTTAGTGATAGCAGAATATCATGCAAACAAAAAAGGAACAAATAAACAATAAAACATCTATTATTTAGATCTAACTGTTGTGTATGTGCATGATAAACAATGCTCTTTGCGTCTGAATGTTCGTTGAGGGAATTCTCTACTGCACTTTAATGTCAGAATACTGAATTTTCTCAGAATTCTGACTTTAATGTCAAAATTCTGATTTTTTTTCTAAACTCAGAATTCTGACTTTAATCTCAGAATTCTGAGAAAAAAGTCATAATTCTGAGAAAAAAGTCAGAATTTTGACATTAAAGTCAGAATTCAAATAATATTTTCATGGTGGCCCTAATCCTCTTCCGTAGCCTGCTGCAGTAGTCTGGCGGTCTCGATATTTGCAGAATTACCATTACTAAAAAACAAAATGACGTAAACATTCTGTAATGCTACTTGTTATTAAATTATCTGTAAAAAATAGCAAGTCCTCCTATAAATAAGCACCATCATATTTTATTTTTATTAAATCTGATATATTTCACAATTACTTACCTTAACTATACCCTAACTATATACAGTATCTAACTAAATGGCTGTATAATCCACCTGAATTGTACTTTTTGTAGCAATCAATGTCACACAAATATATAACAGAAATGTGTTATAAACCACCAAGTCATAAAAAGTTAGAATACGAAGTCGACCGACAACGAATTTTTTTTCTTCTAAATTAGGGTGACCAGATAATCCATGTCAGGGAGGACACTCTGAGCTAGGACAGGAATTGTAAATTACCATTTCAATTAAAAGGACCCG